GATAGAAATTCAAATATCGAAAAATTCCACGGGATCAGTACCAAATTAATTGAATCGATTAACACGTATTACTCAAAGCCCTCCATTACGTTAATTTGGATCGAATTAAGCTTAAACAACATGAAATAATATTTGGTCAAACGTTGTAATCACTGGCATTTAACCGATAAGCACATCATTTACCGAGGTATTGCCTCCGCCCACAGAACTATGACATCATAATGAACTTCCCTGTACAACTGAGGGAAAATTACATCCAGCAAAGAACAAACTTTTATTCTTTTGACGTTAAATTGAATTGAGCTTGCACGGAGGGTAAATAGTTTTCATTTCCAGGAACATGGCACTGATTTGTGAGAATCTGTCACCCATTTGTGGTGATACTGGACACTAACTACAATAACCCTAAAAAATAGCAAAATTTTTGTCAGAACCTTTTTGGAGCGCTCAAATCGCTGTACAAAAAAGTTCATTGCAACAATTTCGTTATCTACTCAGGTTCGGAGATATTCAGAGATATTGTTTCAACGCTTTCTAACAGTAGCGTACTGTTAGAAAATTTTTGAAATTCCATGGAAGATATTATAGTAAATCGGATTTAGGGAAAAGATGATTATGAAATTTCAAGTTTTAAGTAGAATTCACGGAAATTCACGAGTTTTCAGTGGGAGTGAGATGGAAACTTCACAAATTGATTGAATTTTCAGTGGAACATAAATATTCAGAAACAAAGTAACATGAATTTTCAATTTTTGCCTGAATTTTCCTAATGTTTCTGAATTTTCACAGAATAATTGAACTGAAAAATCAAGTATTTTATCGATTTCCAGATCATTTGAGCAGAAAATCAATGGAATATTTAGTTTTTTTTGTGTCCAAGTTCTACTAAATTCCTAAAATTTCAATGGAACTTGGACACAATAAAAATTTCTGGAATTTAGGACATTGCCAGACAACTTTGCACAGTTACAAATTGAAGCAATAACAGTCATGGGGGCGAGACTTTGCAAAACGCCTACAACCCTGCTGAGGTAGTGAGGAGAAGAAAGGTAACAGATTATATTCCTGAGTGAAAAGAATCACTGAGGCGTGATTAGGGCTATAGTATATCGAGTTGAATCCCAAGACAAGGGTAAAGGGTAGATAAAATAAAAGCCAGAGAATCTCAAGGCTGAGGGAGCCAGTGGGCCGGAAGGGTGAGTTCGATTCTCCACTGGCCTTCACACATTTTTTTTTCACCTCTCATTTCTCGTTACGTCCTCTTATTTAAAAGGCTCGACGAAGTGTAACGATAGGAGGGAAAAAAGTTTAGATATAAAAAGGGGAATGAAAAAAATTGTGCGGTCTATGGGCCACATACCATCGGTTTCTCATACCCAGGGGTCGCTTGCTTGGGTTCTTGAGCGTTAAATTGAACTATAAAACTACGCGTGGTGAGCGATGATAATGGACACAATTTATTATTGAATAGTCTATATTTTTTTGTGAAAGCTACTGAAACTTTAGTTTAACTCGCTGGGAAGTGTTTTTTTTGTCAAGATGTTTGACATTTTTTCTTCAAATCACATTTAGGTGGAGAATTTTTGGCTGATATTGTCAGTAAATTTCTTAGGAATATTTATTATGTGATAGTTTCACTGAAATTTCAGGGAGTTTTGCCATTAAAAATCTAATTTGATGAGAAAATCAATAAAAACTGTCCATTTGCAGTTTGATTATTCCATGAAAAATTAATTATTAATTATTTCGTAAAAAAATTAATAGAAATCAGGGTAAGTCAGGTAAATTTAGTCTTAGCTTTTTAATTGGTTGGGGGTTGACATTGAATTAACAGAAGATTGACATTATATTCGATCTAGATGGAAAAAAATGAAAAAATTTAAGATTTTACTGAAAACTCAATAAAACTTCCCATTGTTACAGTAGAAATACGAAAATTTCTCAACTCACATGAAGTTTCAATCAAAACTTGAGTACCAAATAACGTAAAATTTTCAATTAATTAAAAATTCAAGAATATATTCACCTAATTTTCCCGATTTCAATTAATTTGCACGGAACAATTGAACTGAAATTTACGTTCTCCCCTGATTTTCTCATACAATATTTAATTTTCAATGGAAAAATTATATTGTGATGTTCCAGAAGTTTTAACTAAAAATTCTGAATTCTCCTCTCAGTACATGTGACGACTGTCTTGTCTCGTGAATTTTAATCGTTATCGTTACCTAAACACCAACAAATCTGGATTATCATTAACCCCTCAATAACCTTCACATCTCACGCTCAAAGTGCTACGAATTACTCTACAGTCTTCCGACATCCCCTCGAAAATCCTCGACTATTAGTTAAATATTAACGAATGAAGATTTGGTGAGACCGAATAGACCCTAACTTCCAACCAAAATCCATTTGTTAACAATTACTAATCCGTTCTATCAGTGTGGATATCACAAATTTCGTTCAATGTGATGTACGGAAAGCTCAATTTAAACATCGGCTTCACTCCAACATTCATTACAACATTCAATTCATTCCTCAATGTAATCATCTTCTAGGTACGAATTTTTTATCAATTCATGAAAGTAGAAAATTTCTCGACTGGAGATTATATTAGGTTTAAAAAAATATAACTTTTCCATTTTTGCGGTGAATGTGTCTCAAGGAGAAATAATTGATATTCACCGTCAGCTCTTATTTATTTGAAATTGCTTCAAGCATATAATACTTGTTCCAAGAAAGAAACATCTCAGTAAAAATAATTTTTTCTGTAAGTGTACTGTAAATAACCCGCCACACCTCCATTCACCTCATAATCTCTGACGCGCTGTACATCCAGTACCTCGTCCGCGGCAGGCCACCACTAAATCGGATATTTTACGTATACACGTGCTCAATAAGCACGTACGTACATAACCCAGAGGACTCTTGACTCGTGCCACTTCCTTCTGCCTCGTCCCGGGCATTTCTCGCTTTCCTCCACCTCATGAACCCCCGCATTGTCTGGCCGATGAAGGAGGGCAAACAAGCGAGTGGTGGTGGGACGGTGAGAGAACATATTCCAGTCCCGTACTCCTGGAAAATGTCCTGCACGTGATATCGCAAAACGTCCCTTTTCTTTTTTCCGTGTCGCTCCCTTCGCCTCACTCTCCGCTGATCCCACAGTGACCCACTCTGGGCTTCTACTAAGCCTGGGTGGTATTATTAAAATCCAACTAAACCGGAGTACGTGAGGATCGCATTATCTGTCCGATGCTGATAATTATTGTGTGAATGTTTCCTATGGATTTTTAGCAACTCATTTTACTGAGATTTGGAATGAATAGTAATTGCGAATTCCGCAAAAGTAAATTATTTTTAAGAATGTCCAACATCTTTAAAATATCTTTTTAAAATATTTTTTCTTCTCGCTAATATTCTTTTCAGGGTTGGCAATTAACCTTTATTGAAACTTCAAAAGTATGGAACTCATTCTTCATTAGAATCGTGAAAAAACATTTTTAAAATGTGCAATTATTGGGAAGTTTTTGCAGAATGGATGTTTCATGAATTTTTGGGGCTGCGAATCGTAACAAAATCCCACGTGTTTAGACTTTTATCGCAAGTGGATTCCACACTGTTAGAATTTTTTTTTCGAATACCAATGGAAAGTTCGAATTCCTCGAAATTTTAATATTTTGTAACGCTCCCCAACTAATTTGATTTTTTTTTCTCGTTGAAATGCATTTCAACATTTGCATAATTAAGTCTTTATTGAAACTCCAAAAGTGTAGAATTCATTCTTTATATTGAAAACTTTAGAGAAAATCTTAAAAATGGGAAAAATTGAGAAGTTTTTGAAAAATGAATTTCCGGTCCTATAAATCATTAAAAAATGCTGTATCCTTAGAATTTTATCAGAAATTGATTCTACACTGTTGGACATTTTTCAAAATTTTGAATTTGCAATGTTGTCGATTTGAATTGAATTTACGATCGAATTGTTCATGGAATTTCTTATTCATCTTGGAAATTCAATGAAAAGAAGTTTCGAAAGTTTGTTCCAACGATTCTTACAGTTTTTTATCACAAGAAGAGAATGTTTAAAAAACAGATTTTTTTCTAACATAATTTGAATGTTGCTAATTATCTCTAAATAAAAGGAATTGAATAATGAGAATTCAGATTAAATTTAAATTATTCGAAATCATTTTTTTCAATTCTCCCAATATATCTATATCTAGCTCAAGAGATTACTTTTATACACGGAGAGAAATTCTCTAGAAAAATTCTAGAGCCACGTGAGCAGCACGTGAATTTTTCCCGTTCTCATATGAACTTTTCATCGAAATCCCCGAAAATGTTGTGAGAAATCCCTAGAAATATTGCCGTAGCAACACCAGAATTTTTCGTAATCGGTGGATTGGGATTGTTTTCAGTACCAGCACTAGAATTTTTCTAAAGAATTTCTCTCAGTGTACTACTACCTCATTTTTTCTTCTACACTGTTAAAAAAAAAATTTCATGGACAGTTGACTACCTATTTTCAGAACAGTAACACTGAATGCGATTTAGGGGAAAAAAGATCATGAAATTTCAGTAAAATTCCGGAATTTTAAGCGGCATAAAGACGAGAATTCCTTAAATTATTGCAATTTTCAATCTAATATGAACATTCATTGTCAAATTACATTGAACTTTCAGTGAAATCTGAAATTTCCTGATTTTCTGAAAATTCAGGAATATATTTACCCGAATTTTCTGGTGTTCTATTCATTATCAGGGAAAAATGGAATGGAAATTTACAGTTCCGTTTGATTTTCCCACGAAATTCTGAATTTTCAATGACAACATTTCCTGAAATTTCGTGTTCACTTGAACACGACCAAAATTTCCGGAATTTGGCACGGAAAATTCAGACGAAAATATTTAACAGTGTATTCTACAAAAAAAAATCATCCTCAAGCCAATACACTTCTCCCAAAGTGGTTTAATCAATAATGCCTTGGAATATTTTTCAGGTGGATCGTGCGGAGAACGAGGAGGCCCAGGGCGGAGGTCTGGCGCAATCCAGTTACCCTGGTGCGTCAAGTTCGAGGATGGGTCCTGGGCTGGACTCTGGCAGCAGTGCACCATCCTCAGTACCACACTCATTGGCGACATCGCACGACGACGAGGACAACGAGGACGACGAGAGTAGCAGTCGTCGAGCCGGGGGAACCAGGTCAGGCACCTCGACACTTATCACAGAGCCCTGCAGTGCAAAGCCAGATAGACAGCACCCACCCACCACCCCACCCCCTGCGACCGCCCCCAGTCTATTCCTCAAAGTGTCTGGAATTGTTTGAAGGCAGCAACTGCATTCAGGAGTCGTTCCTCACAGGTCTCACGTTGCACTTTCTCCCCGGGTGCTATTTCACTCGTATTTATTCCTCTCGCCAGAACAAAACACCATCATCTTTTGAACCAGCATTGTGCAGGGGTAAATCAATTCATCCGGAAGTCAGCTCCACTCTCTCATTGAGAACGCTCATTGTTGTGTTCTCTTCATTCCACTCGTTAATTCCATTCTATTTTTCGATCTCCTCATTGTCTCATTACCCAGGTGAATAAATTTCCCTTTGGGCCATGCAAATACAGAAATACTGGGGTGTCCCCTGGGTGTTGTCAAGCAATGTGCCAAATACACAGAGAAAGGTGCCTGGATTGATCACATCATACACTCCACATGCGAGGAGTAGAAACATGTTTTTAACAAGGAGAAAAAAAACTTGTTTTTCGGGATCTCCATTCTAAAATTAAATAAACGAAAAGTCATAAAATCTAGTGACTGTCGGTAATTTCCAGTGATAAAACCCTAAATTACGTCACTGATAATTAGGGTCGTTCTAGTCAGTGGCCAGTATCGGGAATAATTGGTGATAGATTTCTGAAAGTTAAAACTTTTTTTCTGTGTCACGTAATTCTAGTGGAAATATTTGAATTTGAGGGGAGACTACTATGAGTTTTAAAAGTCGCGGACGATTGGAATGAGATTTCTCATATATTGAAAATTGATTATATATGTCTAAAAATGAATAATTAGTCCAAAAAATTAATTGTTTGTTTATTTGCCACGCACACGCTTAAAATGTTGAAAATAGTCAAGGGCCTCCAATTTTTGAGCTACAGAGTTTTTTTTTTAAATTGTTGAACATATGTGTACAATAACAATTACGAATTCGTTTTTTGGAATTCAACTCCTACACAGCTAATTTCTTTTTTTTTAATAAAAAATTGCAGAATTAATGTAAAATAGCCTAAAAAATGTTTCTGAAAGAATCGAGAATATATTTTAAATATTTTAAGGATTATTTTTTGCTTATTTTACATGAATGGCGCAAATTTTTATATTAAACAAAACGAAATTAGCTTCGGAAATTAGGAGTCGAATTTCAAAAAACTAATTCGTAATTGTTATTGTACACATTTTTTCAAAAATTTTAAACTAGAAACTTCACTAGCTCTAAAATTACAGGCCCCTTAACTATTTTCAATATTTTAATAAACAATTAGTTTTGCTGCACTGATTATTCGTTTTTAGACATATATAATCGATCTTCAATGCATGAGAAATCTCACTCCAATCACCGGCGACTTTTAAAACTCACAGTAGTCTCCCCAAAATGAATTATTTATTTTATACAATTACAAAACATTTATCGAAATAAATATAGCAATAAATAAGTCTATTTATTGCTATCGAAAATATTGTGAAATAGATAAAATAAGTTCTATTCGATTCAAAGACGTTATTTCTCTGGGTCTGAGCCCTCAAAGATGTTTCAATTGAAATAAATTTAGATATTTACAAAGAATTTGAATTTCGCTCATTCAATTTTTATCCTTTGAATTTAGAGCGTTCATTTTGCACTATTTAACTTTTTTTTCAACATCCTTGCTCATTTTGACCTGTCGATTTTCTCCGCTCAAACAAGACCTGTTTGAGAGCATGTTATCTCTCCTCTCAGTGCAGTTCCATCTGTTCAGGTGGCTCGAAAAACGTGCTTTGACAGATATCCCTGAGGGCAACACCCAGCATGACCTGAGTCTCGCTCAAACCAAGCGCTGACTCGAACTGCTCCAGGCGAGTCTCACTCGACACCTCCCCCTTTTCTTTCTGTTACGATGCAATCAACGAGGACTTGAGGGTATTACCAATTCTGCAACTTGAAGTGATAAAAATTCTGGTGTAAATCCACTGGCAAATTGATGATCAGTATCTTATCTTGAATCAGGGACTCTGAGTGGAAAAATGTCACCAGTTTTGCGGATGGAGCGCAGTAAAGCTCCAGGTTATTCCATAAAAATAAAGTGCCCCATTGACCTGTCTTGTAACGTTGGATGAACTGCAGAACGCAGATAATTCTCTCAACAATTCAGTGGTGAAGTGGTAAAACGTATAGAGTAAGTTCGTTACATGTTGTACAATGTAGGAAGAAAATTGGAATTTCGTGAAAATTCTCACTTATAATACCAAGAGAGCTCCAAAATTATTGGGTATTTCCCGAAAGTTCGTTGCAGACAAACAAAAGAGTCAAGGCAGGATGTGGATTATGGGATAGTCGGAAAAATGAGGAAACGGTACTAATTTGTTGTCGAATCGCGACGTTTCGCTTGTAATTCAAAGTTCCTTAGGCTCTAGACATCGCTAGTACTTTGTGCCGTCGATTTAACACAATTAAATCGATGGCACAACAACCCAAAAAAGATTTGGGTGGATACAAATACCTTTAATAATAATAATTGATATCTGATAATAAATTATAATAATTATACAACTGAAAAATCAATTTTATGGCACGCCGTGCAATAAGTCGAGTTTATCGCGAAGCGCAGCGTGCGATAAACTCGACTTCTGCACGATGTGGCATAAAATAGTATAGACCACTCGGGCATAAACTTCGTTTTCAACGAATGTGAATACAGACCTCGCCTTCGGCTCGGCCTGTAAACTTCACATTCGTCGAAAACGAAATTTGTGCCCTTGTACTCTGATGTACTATTTTCACACCCCTGCGTGGAAAGTTCATACTTTCCGCCCTAGGGTGGAAAGTATTAACTTTCTTCCCGCTCGTCAAAGAGCAAAATACGAATTTTTTGTTGCAGGAGTGTTAAAATAGTATATTTCTAACCTAGGGAGGGAAAATAAAGGATCCTCAGCGGCTAGTGCAATTACCAGCCGAGCCGAAGGCGAGGTTGGTAAGCACGCGGCTGAGGGTCCTTTATTTTACTTCCCGTGGTTAGAACGCGATTTTCCGTCTCGGCGTAGGCGCAAAGTCAGAGTTCCCTCCCGCGATGCGGGAGGGAAATGTAACTTTGCGCCCGCCGGGACGGAAAATCGCATGTGCACCTCGGGCGGAAAGTCTTGACTTTCCGCCCTTGGTCCACAATACATTATTTTTCTCCCGTCGATGTCGGCAGCCTGAGGAAGCTTTATTTACAAGCAAAACTTCGCGATTTGACAGTAAATTACTATCTCATAATCCATATCCTGAGTTAATTTAAAAATATAGAAATGAACAACAATATTAAGGATTCAAGGTTTTCATTTTTAAGGGGAGAATACTATGAGGTTTAAAATTCGTGGGTTATTGGAGTGAGACTTTTCATATATTGAAGATCGATTATATAAATCTGAAAACGAATAATTAGTGCAAAAAAATTTTTTTTTATTTTTCGTTTGCTCGAAAACGCTTAAAATGCCAAAAACAGTCCAGGGCCCCAATTTTTGAGCGACGAAGGATTTTTTTTTTAATTTTCAGAAAAATATTTGGAATAACAATTACGAGCTAGTTGTTTTTTTAATTCGCCTCTTACGTGGCTAAATTTCCTTTTTTTGTATTTTTTACACGAATAGTGAATTTTTTTATATGAAAAAAACCGAAGTCAGCTGTGTAGGAGTCGAATTCCAAAAAACTGACTCGTAATTGTTGTTCCACACATTTTTCCGAAAATTTTGAAAAAAATAATATTTTTCACTAATTATTCGTTTTTAGATCTATATAATCGATCTTCAATATATGAAAAGTCTCACTCCAATAACCCACAACTTTTAAAACTCATAGTAGTCTCCCCTCAAAAATCACGAGGTCGCGGAATTGATTATTTCTTCCATTCTAATTTCGACCAATCAGAGTGGAGTATCCAGAGTCACGTGAGTTTCACGTGTTAACTGTGACTACTGATACCTGCAGGGTAACAATTGAGTGAATGTAAAATTTTCTTGAATGAAAATTGAATTGCAGAGGAAAATGTCAAGACCCTTGCATTGAAAATTCATTCAAAAGCTTGCAATTCCCAACATTTCCCCGAAACAACTCTTTTTCAAGTAACAACATTGTTTCACTCGACTTATTACGGTTTACTACTTCACAATGCACCTGGAGGAATGCTTCGCTTGAATGAAATAAACGAATTTATTTAAATAACTCTTCACAAAGCTCTCATTCAAACTTAAATAAGATTCTCATTTGCGTTCCTATTCGCATCAAACGAATAGCTTTTCAAACGCAAACAAATTTTTCTTTGATCGAAGTAATAACTGTATCGGTTTGAAATGCAGTCATTGTTTAGACAGCGAAGAAAAAACGAATTTATCAACATTTTCGTTGGAACAAATATGTGAGTTTATTAATTCCCAACAAAAATCTTGTTGAAATCAATAGAAAAATTTCAAATGAAGTGTTTTATTTGATTCGAATGCGTTGTTTCAGCATTCGTTTCAGCATTCAAACAGCTTGAATCGAAGAAATAGTATTTGAATAATTCAATGAAGGAAAATACTATTTGAAAGAATGGTACTTGGAACGAATGAATCATTTATTTCATATAATTGAATCATTTTCCTTGGAATGAAAACAGCAGTTAATTAATTTACAGCAAACTACGGGTCAAGTAAACAGAAAAATTTCAGGTGAAGATCATTTCGCACACATAATTTACCTGGGTGCAGATGCACCCAGAATCATCACTTCGAAATCTCAATTAAAAAATGACAGTTAATCAGGGGAATTTGTGGTTGTTACGCAATGAAAACCGGTTAATCTCGATGTACATTACCAGAATTAGAATGACAATCCTGAATGATGTGGGACGTTCATTGATTGGTTGTTGGTCTGCCAGCATGATTGTCATTAAACTCTGTTCTATATCGGATGTGAGGAGTAGCTCCGTTATCATCCT